CCAAAATCCTGTATTATGAAGTCACAAGTTAAATAGAGTACATGGGTTGAAAATATCAGCTAGAAAAATGTTTGACTGGACTCAAAAAAGAAATGCCTAATATGTATTATTAAATCCAAATGATATGAGCAATTTTCCATGGAAAGTAGAAATACACAATTGTTTTGCATTGGGACTGGGTCAGCTTGTAATGATGTGGCAGCAATTCTAACCTTATATTAAGCCATTGTAGATTTGACCCTCAACAAATTCTACAATTGTAGACCTACCAATTGTATAAATAACATGAAAATGTAATTCTAATAATTTTCCTTACCAACGAAACAAGAGAAAAGAGAAAAACACAACACTTTTAAAATTTGAACATATTATTTGTCAATTGTTGATGTTCCCTAACAAAAATGGCCCAATTGAGTTCCGTAGAAAAAAAAAATAATAACTACTGAAATCCGGTGCAAAATGTCACAGGAAAAGTATCACGAATTCATCTACAACTAACAGATAGAGGCCTAAAAATCTAGATATCGTAAGAAGGAGAATACAATAATTAGATGAAAATGAAAAAAAGAAGAGAAATAGAGCAATGAAAACAAAAAAAAAAAAGAAAAGAAAATAAAGCTTGATTTTTTTTTTCCCTATTTCCTTCAGGTGTGCATTGTTAATTTCTTTGGTGTTGTTTTGTCTGTTCTTATCTTCTTCCTTGCTTCGTGGGTAATTGCTTGTTTTTTTTTAAAGTTGTTTCTTTTCATGAGTTGTCTGCGCTTTTAATAATTTTATTCTTCATTTGTTTCTCACCTGTTTTGTTCGTCAAGTCATAGCCTTTTTTTTTTATTTTTTTTATTTTTTTTATTTTCTTGTTTCATTTATGCTGTTCGCTGTTTGCTTCACTACCAATATGGCTGCTTTATATATATATATATATATGATTTCTTTAATTAGATTTCTACGAGGAAAGACAGCGAGGATGTGATTTGATTAGTTTAATTAAACAAAACCCATGAAATAGTTTTGTGCTCAATTCCGTTTTTCTTTGTATGAAGTTGTTTTTAGGTTTGTTTATCTTTAGGAATGCATTAGATTTAAAAAAAAAAAAAAACAGAAACGAAAGAAGAGGAAAGGTGCAGAAAAACAGAAACGGGAAGAAAAACAATGAGGTGTTTTAAGGTGTTTTGATTGAATTTTTTTTTTTTTTTTTGTGTTTAATTTTCTTGATAATTACTATTTATATTTTATAAAAAATTAAAAATTTCCCAAAATTAAAGTATATGGTAACCATATTTATATGAAAATTTGTAAGGTGCTTAACATCTACCTCACGCTTAACCGACCCTCTCAGCCTAATCAGTTTCCATGAAGACCTTGGTGATCTATCCCACCTCATCTGTTTGGCGACTCCATTCATTTTGGCCCGTCAACAATCTCCATCCTTGTCTTCTTCACCTTTTCCTCCTTGTATTGTATGGCACTCTACTTTCCTCTGGTTTGGGATACAATTAAGAGTAGAATTGATAATGCTTAGCTTCAATGATGATTTGCCTTAATCCTCCTATAGGTGATACGACCATCAATAGAACACCGAGGACAATGCAGATCTGAAACCAAGCAACCAACCAAAATAAGAATCGCACATGGTTTTGAAGCAAAAGAAAAGAATAAGGGAAAAAAAATTTAAATTTTAAGTTAACATACCCAGTTAGTCCACCAGGATAAGCCAAACCTCTTTGGTTTCTTGACAGCAAGCCACATTATACAAGGAAGCTGAATAAAAGAACCAGGAGAATGTGAGTATTTGTATAAGAGTTTTGTGACATGGTAATCTGATGTAAATGGCATAGAGATATATGTTGCTTACGAAATATGATGTTGGGGCCAAAACAAATCCTCCGAAAAATCCCAGAAGGCCACCAAAGAAAGGGAAGGTTATGCCAATGAACATTGTGAATGCTGCAAAGAAGAAATTAGGTATTAATTAAAATCCACTAAAGCTTCATAAAAGGTAATAGGGCCTAGTTTTGCACTCATACAAGTAGATTTTCTTACCAACATAGATGTTACGTGCAACAAACCGAAGTATTCTGCTGGGTTTGAAATGAAGTTTCTTTACAAGCAGAGTCTCTATCATGTCAAAAACAGGCATTGCATAGATCTGAATGCACACATTTCAACCAAAATCTCGTAAATAATCTGTGGTGGACAAAATTATAAATAAAACTTGAATGAGAAAACTGAGAGAATGATTGATGTGTACCTGGTAGCCCCCAATAACATGAACAACAACAAACATGTTAGCCATTGCAATTAGCCAAGCAGGTTTCTGCAGTGAGATGAGGA